TGTGTTTGATGAATCAGTATTCCTTGTTGATCCCTTTTTATCTGAAGACCAAGATAACTGGTAGGGTTTTCCATCACTGTTATTTCAAAATCATTTTTCAAGCAGTCTAATAATCTTTGCATTTCCTCGATATCTTCTCCCAATAGTAGTCCGTCGTCAACATGAACAGCAAGGAACATTTTTCTAGGTGATCCTATGTATTTGAATACACACTGATCTGACTTGAGTTGTATGAGATTTTGTTTCTTCAGAAAATCAGTCAGGCGTTTGTTCCACTGTAAAGGAGCTTGTACTAGACCATATAAAGCCTTTTGTAGTAAACAAACTTTTCCGGGAGCATGATAACCTTCTGGAACTTTCATAAATATCTCTTCTTCCAGATTTCCATTCAAGAAAGCTGTTTTCACGTCAAATGAGATGATCTTGAGGTTTTCTTGTGCAGCTAGTGCAAATAGAACTCTTAGAGATGTAGTTTGTACAACCGAGCTAAAAATATCTTTGAAATCTAAATTTTCTTTATTTTGTTGACAGCCTCTTGCCACCAGTCTTGCTTTTCGTCTTCCGTCGCCTTTGATCTTGAAAATCCACTTTCCTGTTATTATTTCTTTTCCTTTGGCATGTTCTTTATTTATGAATCTCCATGTATTATTTTTCTTCAGCGATTCTTTTTCTTCGTTGATTGCTTCAAGCCATTCATCTTTATCTTCGCTCGCCAGACAGTCTTCATATGTAACAGGTGTTTCTTCTTCTGTCATCAGAACGAAATCATTGAATCTCTGAGGAATTTTTGTTTGACGTTGTGGTCTCTGGTTTGGAATTATATCTTCGGCTTCAACTTCTCCTCCTTCATCTTCGATGTTATCTATTCTCTCTTGATCATTATGTTGTCTTTCATCATTTTCGTTCTGTCTTTCTTCATTTTCATCCTGTATAACTTCATTTTCATTTTGTCTGTCATTATTTTCATTTTGTCTTTCTGCATTTTCATCCTGTATAACTTCATTTTCATTTTGTCTGTCATCATTTTCATCTTGTTCTTCTTGATGTTGCAGACTTTCCACAATGATTGATACATCGGGATCATCTGAAGATTTTATTTCTTCAAAAGAATTCGTGAATTTTGTATCTCTTGATAGATACACTTTTCGTGTTAATGGGTTCCATACTCGATATCCATTATGTGCATAGCCTACGAATATGCCTTTTTGACTTCGATTTTCCAATTTTTTCAGTTTTCCAAGATTTTTAGTGTATACAATAGTTCCAAATTCTTGAAGATTCTGTATATTTGGTTTATCTCCATACCATTCTTGAGCTGGTGTAGTTTTGATTGTCTTTGAGGGGCTACGATTGAATAAATATGCTGCAGTTAGGACAGCAAACCCCCACATTTGGTTATACAACTTAGATTTGTGAAGCATAGCTCGAACTTTATTCATTAAAGTGAGATTTATTCTTTCAGCAGCGCCATTCAGTTGGGGAGAGTCTGGAATAGTGTAGTCCAGCACGATTCCTTTTTCTTTGCACCAGTTTTTGAATTCGTCACTGCGATATTCTCCTCCATTGTCACACCTTATTTTCTCAGTTTTCATATTAAAATGGGCCTCACCTTCATTGATAAATTCTTTCAGGTATATTTCAGTTTCATTTTTCTTATGTAACAAATACACTTTGAGAAAATGAGTATAGTCGTCCATGCAGGTCAAAAAATATTCTTCCTCATCATAGGTAGCTGGTGAAATCTTTCCACATACATCGGTATGAATAATTTGGAGTGGTCTGATTGCTTTATGTCTTTGAGAATTGAAAGGCTTCCTCACCAGTTTTCCTATAACGCATGATTCACAAAATGTGTCTGGATCACATTTTGATAAAGATTCACATGCACCAACGCATAGCTCAGGTATTTTTCTCAGATCACTGAAGTTAAGGTGACCTAGTTTGTTATGCCATTCTAAAGCACTACATTTTTGGGTAATCAATGCTTCTGGTTTTTTATTTAAATCTACAATGTACAACCCTGAACTAGTTTTCTTTCCTTCGAGGACAACATTTTCGTCTTTAATAGGGACATCTCCCATCACTATTTTTATTTTATCATTGTCAAATACAGCAACTGCGCCTTTTTCTGTCACTGCATTGATGGATAGCAAATTTCTTGTTAAATTTGGGACATATGATACGTTTGTTAAAATTACATTTTCAGATTCCACGTCTCCCACCATGTTAGAAACTAAACTTGCTCCTTTCTTGGCACATCCAATATGATTTTCTTCAACTTCTTGAATATTTTGCATGATTTCTTCTTCGTACGTTAAATGCCCTGTACAGCCACTGTCACAAACAAATTCGGTATCAATTTCTTTATATTCTTCATTTGCAGAAAAATGTGTTTCGGCGAGAAAGGTGACTTTGTTGTTGATATTTCTGTTCCCTCTATTATCATTTTCATGATCAGTTCTGTAGCGACACTTATTTTCGGGATGATTTGTTTTCTTGCAATATTTGCAGGGAGAAAAACTATGTCCTGTATAGCAATCTTCTGTATTGTGTCCTGATTTCTGGCATTTTTGACATTGTTTTGAAGTTGATGCCTTTTGATGATGATTTTGTGCCTTTGTATTGCTTCTGCAATCCGTTTTGTAATGTCCTGGCTTACCACAATTGTAACAAGTAACTTTGGTGCTTATTTTGTTCTTGAACACAGCTTTATATGCTACCTTGTGGTCATCCTTGGAGCTATTCTGTTTTTCTTCTTCCTTTAACAGTCTTGCTCTCAGGTTTTCTAAAGTTCTTTCAGTAACTGGAGTTGAATCCCAAGCAGTACTGAAATTCTTGAACTGTTCTGGTAAACTGAGCAGTATTTTGGTGATTAGCATGTCATCACTGATTTTCATGTCGAGATTATTCAATCTGAAGCACAAATTTTGAATGTGTGCTATATTCGCCATGATATCTGATGATCTATCGAACTTGGTGTTGAAGAATTCAGCTAGTAGTTGATTTTTCGTTTGATCAGTGTCCCTTTTGTATACTTTTACTAGGGTATCGAACATCTCTTTGGAATTTTGACATGTCAGTATATGTGACTTGACACTCGATCCGATAGTCCTGAGAATTGTATATTTAGCACATGCATCTTTGGTATTCCATTCGTTTTGTTTCTTCTCATCATTTTCACATGAATCATAAGTAGTAGTACCATCCACTATTTTCATTAGTTGTTTAGCTGCAAACAGTATCTTTATTTCAAATTCCCACAATGGAAATGAAGCGGCATCGGTTAGTTTAGGAACAGAGTCAATTTCTTCTTTGGACGTCATTTCTTGATTTTTTTTTGTTGTCTTCTTTATTGATATTTATTCTTGATCTTTATATTTACTAACTTTCTATGCCTCTGGGCCCATAACCTGTTGGCTATTTGTATATTTATCGTATTATTTTGATATGAATTAATAATAATTCCTCATTTTATCGTTTTTATATTCGTCTTGTTTTATTATTAACAACTGAACTATATTAACAAAATATGTGATGACATTGATTGACAAGATATCATTTTGATAGTCTATATAATGAGTGTTGTCGGATGATTCATTGAAAATACTTTGTTGTTATATTATACCGGATGAGATCCATATTACTAGCAATCTTGAGTCAGATCTCTTCATCTGAAGTTTTATCTTCAAAATGAGCCTAAGATTTCCAAAATCGGTTGACGTGGCAAAAAGTTATGGCTGCAAACCCAAAAAGTTGATTTTTTGAGATCACTCTGTAAATAAGAGAGATAGGAAGTTGATTCGCGAAATATCTCGAGGTAATGAGATCATCTTCGTGCCTCTGTTGTCGAAGTTGAGAATAAAATGTTTTTCACCATTTGAGAGCCTTTTGAATATTCCGAAATTTCCCAGAGTGTCGGAAAACACCATGTAGAGATTTTATGTGAATAACCTTATGTTTCAATGAAGTACCAGATTATAGCTGAAGGACTGGGCTATCGAACAGTGTGAACCAAATTCAAATTGTTCTAAACTGAAAAAAGTTATTCACATTATAACAGGGGCGACATTTTGGTGTGCGACGAAATTAGTGTTGAGTAGTTTATTTTCTGCGAGCTCTCGCCTCCACTTTAAAATCCATAGCTGGTACTCTGTAACCGAAGAAGCAGGAACTCCCAGATATTGAGTATAGAATTCTGCTGCCTTCTTCACATTCATTAGGTCAACCTCAGTGTATTCTGATTTTGGCATAAAAATACCTGAGATGAAATACCTAAGCCAAACAGGTCCAATGTATCTTCAGAAAGGCGGTCTTTCAGATCATTCGTTACACTGTCCAGTAATGGAATATAAACAGTTCTTCGGTAATATTCCTCTTCGTTCTCTTGGTGATTATCGCGATGAGTCTGCCGAGATAGAGTACGTGGTGCAGATTTTCGGGGGAGGGGGCATGACCCCTGTGACCCCCCCTCCTCGGACCGCGCCTGAACAGAAACCATATTTGTTTGACAAGTTTCGTATTATTTTTTCCTTACGTCAGCATCGAGACAGAAGTTGTTCCCGCTTTGAGGAGATCTATGCTTCATATATGAGTAGTAGATATGTATTTTTATTGTTGTCTTGTGTCAGTTGTGTCAAGTGTGTCTGTGTCAGTACTGTCAGTTCGTTTGTCACTTGGTGGTCAGTCAGTTTAATTTGTTTTTATTTATTGTGTAAAATTGCGTGGTGGGTGGCCTGGTGGGTGCTTGTGAATTTTGTAATATTATGATTTGATTATCAATATTAATATCTATTATTTAGTATTTATTTAGTCTTCTGTATATATGAATATAAGAAGACTTTATTACTATTGTTATCCTATCAAAGAATATACTACCTACTCCAGAGTAGCATATTTATATTGGTTATATTACATTTTAGGAAAAGATATTTTTTACTAGATAAATATACTGAATTGGCCAAAAATACAAAATTCTTGTTTTGGTCATTTGTTATTAGAATCCATTATAGGTATCTACAATATGAGTGCTCCACCTGCTCCAAATGACTGGCAGACGACAAGAAAATTAGTAAAAGAAAGGGGCCAGTATCTGCTTGAAACTGGAACATGGAGTGACTGTCGATTTATTGTTGGCACTGAACCTAATCAGCAAGTCTTGGAAGGCCACAAACTGTTTCTTGCTATGTCAAGCCCTGTATTTGAAGCAATGTTCTTTGGTGGAATGGCTGAGAAAGATCCTATTGCTATTCTAGATGTTCAGCCTGAAGCATTCAAGGCATTACTGGAGTAAGACAAAATCAAATATTTCTTGGAAACACTGACTCAGCTTAACCAAAGTAAAAAGTCCAACAGTAGTCTCCACAGTAGTTATGTCCTGATTTATATGGTTATTTTTCCATTATGGGGAAATTATGTGTCCCACACAAATTCCAGATTAATAAAATATGTTTTTTTTTGCATATTGCTACCACATACTGTAGTCTATAGTTCATCACTGATTCTAACTGAATGACATAATCATTGATGATTATAGAGTTTTTGGAATAATTAAATTAAACATTTCATTTACATTCCAATTATGTGGAAGCTAATAACATGACTGTTGACAATTCCAATGAAAACTTTTTTTCATTAAATATTGATCATGAGAAGATCTGATCTCAATATGGCCTTCAATATTGAGCACAGTACTGTGGCCCAATAAGGGCTAACTGAGGGGCTAACATTATTTATCCAGTTATTCATTGTCCACCATATCATGCTACTGAAATGTGAGGTCAGTGTTGGTAGAACTGATAAATATCCTGTCATTTAATGGTCTCTCCTAGGATATCTTCTTTTTTCTATGAATGTAAAAATTGGTCATGAAGTTCCACATTGAGATTAAAAAAACATAAGTCTGCTGAAGTCTTTCCATAACATGAGGTTTGTTATTTGTTCAAATATCTTAAATAATTTTTTCCAAATATTTTCCATGAAACTGGCCACAGCCTTCAGGACTAAAGGGGACAATTTTGGAATTTTTGACTGACATCTACCTCATGGTTTAGTAGTGCCACATAGTGAGACTGAAAATATTAGCCCTCATTTCAAAAATATGTTATTCCTACTGTATGAAATTCATAGCCACCATTCAGTGTTGCATGAATCATAACCAATGTGAAGTTTGGCCAAATGTCCTTGATTGCTCTTGTTGGTGATTCTATTCAGTATCAACTGAGCAGTTGTAGGTAGTACACATGCTGGATCTTGTTTATGTGACAGTCTACTGGTAAGTAGATTAATGTTCTATTTTTCACATTGAACTAATGAGATATTTGGATTTCATCTATTTTCTTACATTGGAGAGAGGTTTCTTCAGTCAAAAAAGTTGTTGATATTTTATTTGTAATTGTGTTAACCTGATCTTTTGTAAGAATAGGCAGCCCCCTGGCACCAGTCCTGTGGCAGAAAATAGGACAGGGGACTGTGACTAGTTCCAGGACTGGCTGTCCAAAAAGACAAGAACAAGGAAAGGAGGAGGAGTTCACAAAGGAAGCAGAACACCTGAGATATATATATATTGAATAGCTGTATTATATTATGATATAATAAGAAATATCATATATTGCTATGCCAAGCTTTCAACAATTTTTTTTTTCTTCAAGGCTTCCAGCACCTCGATGCCCTAGAAGTGGTTCGGATTCCACTATAAGCTGTAGGTCCCGCTCTTCCTAACCCCGCACAAGTTTCCACTTTTGGGGAGTTGGTTCCCAACTTTGAAGTAGCGATATACAAAAAAAAAAAACTGTAAATAACTAGCATGTGAACTATTTCTGTTTGCTTTGTTTCTGGTATCAATTCGTTCTATCAAAAATTGGTTCATTAAATTATTATTGAACTTTTGATGTTTTAATAACCAATAAGAATGTCTATCCATGAAAACACGCCATTCAAAAATGGTTACGAATATCAATATCATCAAATGGCCAAAAAATATATGGGGTGTTTCATTTGAAAAACTCCAGAAAAATCACTTCAAACAGCTTCGAATTGAAAAATCATTTTCAGTCATCTTTTATGATTTGACGGCATGGAAATTATAATAAAAAAATCAAGCAGGTACTTTACAAAGGAGGAATAGCCTTAAAAAAATGAAATTGAATCGTTCGAAGTACCTAGTGGATAACGTGTTTTCCCCTCCTGAACAATCAGCTCTGAAAGACTTACGAGGTTTTGACAGTAAGCCGACGATATGGAAAATTAGAACGAGGTTTTGACAGTAAGCCGACGATATGGAAAATTAGAACGCGAATATCTTCGTAATCGTTTGAAATAACCCTATCAAATCCGGTATCGTTGAATTCGTGTCTTATTTAAAAATCAAAAGTTGTATCAAATAATGAGCGAATTGGAATACTTGCTACCCACCAATTTACAAAATCCGATCTCGAATGATTCAGAAGTTACTTCACTTGCCTTTTTTTGTGCACTTCTCTGTATAAAAAGATAATTTTGAAATATCTTGAGATGAACCCTTACAATGCCGTACAACCCCATTTTATAGTATAACATTCCTATTATTTTTCAGGTATATTTACACTGATAGAATAAATCTCACATCATTTGATCAGGCTTGTGAGTTATGTTATGGAGCTAAAAAGTATATGCTCCCTTATTTGGTGGAAGAATGCACGAAATATTTGTGGTCAGATCTCTATCCTAAGAATGCCTGTAGAGCATATGAGTTTGCAAAACTGTTTGAAGAACCAATGCTAATGGATAAATGTCTCAGAGTATGTGCAAAACTTATCACTCCTTGGAGAAAATACTCAATGCTTTTCCTTCTAGATTATCTGCAATCAAACTCAGGAAGTACTACAGGAATCAAGCTTTGATGATGTTGAGTTAACTACAGTATTAACAGTTTTTGAACAAGAAGACCTCAATATTAAATCTGAGCTAGAATTATTCTCAGCCGTTGCCCGTTATGCTGTGAAACATAATCAAATATCAGGTGCGAAAGTACCTAGACTAGATGGTATAGGTAATTGTGATTAATTTTCAGTAACTAGTCTATATGTTTTCCTCTTCCTTCCTCCTAATGTTGTATTTCGTTTGAGTTTTCATCACTTGATGAATTTTGTGTGTGTTTATATTTTGAAACTTGGATAACAAAATGTGCTGAAGATTTTTAATTGAATTTAACGTTGCTAATTATTATTACTCACCCTTATATGCAATTATTGCAGAACTGGATTTCGAATTTTGCTAAATAATGGAAAGCATATTCATTAAAATCATAGATATTATTGAAAGGTATTTCCTTATCATTGTTTTTCTCTCAAAACAGCAAATGCAACAAGTGAAGCAAATAGTAACCAGCCAACAGTTCGTGATGCTATCAAAAAAATACGTTTCCTCACCCTATCCCCACAAGATTTTGCTGAAGGACCTGGCAAATCTAATTTGCTATCAGAGTCGGAAAAGTTTGCCATTCTAATGAACATTTGCACGCCTAGTGCTGCAGTGATGATGCCAGAAGGGTTCTCCAGCTCTACTACACCCCGCAGAACGAGATTGCCTTCAGAAACGTTTGTAGGGGTGAGTTTTTGTATTTATCCAACACATGACAGTTATGACTGCCATTATTAATGTCATTATAGACAAGTAAACCATCTAATAACTCATGTTCATATTTGAAGTAGTATTCTATTTATTTATTACTATTACAAGCAGGATTCACATTGATATTGAAATTAAAGGAAAACGCTAACGGTTCATTCGAATTTGAAGTAATTGTAACATTCGTTGGTTCATTGGAACCAGATGCTCCCATATCGGTACAGCTGCTGATAGTGCTTGAAGACGCCGACACATTAGAACCTCGTATTTTTTCTGCAATTTGTATTTTGTTATGCACCCATTCTTCTAGGTATCCTTCTGATACCGTCGAGTACTTCCATCCTCCGTGACGCTTCAAAATAGTCATGTTAGCCTCTGTATTGGCCAAAAGAGTCGCCGAAGACCGGTGTAGAGCGCTGGTTCCTCCAAGTTCAAAAACTTTGCAATTCTTGATGGTATCTTCGACAACGTATTTATTCCCACACACTGGCTGGTACACCTCCCATTTTTGAAAAAAAAAAACAAAAAAGCGGCTAGAACTAGTATTCTTTTGTCTCAAAGACATGTATTTTTTATACAAATTGATCGGGTTGACTGGAAATCCTTCTTCAGGTATGGCAAAACTCCTCGATTTCTTGGTTTTAGTGTCTGGCAAAACTACGTGAAAATATTTCCCTTTGTCTTGAATATTTTCTATTTTCAAATTGACCAATTCATCGCATCTACAAGCACCGCTAATCCCCATTATCAAAGCCACATTCATCAACAAGTACTCGTCATCGGGAGCTTCGTTCAAAAACTTCTCTATTTCAGGTCGTTCTAATGTCTTGGATTCCTTTGGTATGTATCCCTGTGATTTGCTTTTCAAAAAGCTCGTTAGTTTACCATATTTTGAAATGTCGATTTTTTTATAAAGGTGAATAGTTGACCGAAGCATCCAGTATTTGGTCCATAACGACCATGGGGCTAATTTTTTTGCAAATGAAAAAAATAAGCCAATAGAACGTTTTCATCGATACCTTTCATCTTCCGTGAATTCATCCAAGACTCAAACATTTTGAACTCCTTTCAAAAAAGATTCTTTTTTCTTCTGGGAAAACTGACAAGTGTCAAAATTTATTTGAACATTTGCTAACAATGTATCAAGCCGTGGCAACCTAACAAACAACCTCTTTTAACCATAATGTAAAAAAGTCACTGTCAAGTAATTCTGACATTTATAGGGTACTGAGATGCATGTAGCTTTGATTTGATCACAAAACATCAATTATTATCTCATATAAAAACGATTTCTTCCACTTGTTGGATAGAACATTGTATGCCACTTGTGGATTTCCTAAGTCAATTGAGAATTTATACCACGGCCTCCTGGTAAAAATATTTCTCGCGTGACTTATTCTCAACATGACACACTAGTACCATAAATAACTATTATATCGAATTCGAGATGGTTTATGTATTAGGGGAAGGAATGTTGTTTTAATAAGGATTAAAATTGTCACTTTGTTTGACAAGAAAGTTTGTGAGGCAAAGTGAAGTGCTACCTTTATACAGAAATTGCACTATAAGTGATTGGGAATAGTCCTTTTTATTTAGATGTATCTTGTATGTGCTTGTTGAAGTACTAATTGGATATGGCTAAGGTGAAAAGTCATTGGCTAGTTTTGACGCCTTTTGACATTCTTCAGTGTTAAATAACCATCAAAGGCCATGCCAAATGCCATGGCACAAGTTTCTATAAAAATCTCAACTTGTTTCATACATCATTAAGCAAATATTAGTTCAATTCTTTAAGGGTGACTTATTACTTATATATACAGAGAAGTGCACAAGAAACAGCAGGGACTGTAACTTCTGAATTATTCGAGATATGGTTTCCAGTTTTACTGGAAACGACCCCATCTTTTGATTTTTAAATGAGGTTAGAGATTGTCATAACGAATTCATCGATACCGGGTTTGATAGGGTTATTCCAAACGATTACGCAGATATTCGCGTTCTAAGTTTCCATATGCTCAATGAGTGTGACAGAGAAAGAAGTTTTGATATTGCGAAGTCACACCCATTGAGCATATGGAAAGTTCGAACGCAAATATCTTTGTAATCGTTTGAAATAACCCTATCAAACTCAGTATCGTTGAATTTGTCATGATAATCCCTAACCGATTATGGAATACAATACAGGGTGTCCCATTTGAAAATCCGAAGTTGGAGTCGTTTCCGGTGAAACTGGAGGTGATAGAAGGAAGATTGTTCCATCAATTAATGAGCAAACACTGCAAAATAAGTTGGTCTTGCTCAGTGACAAAATGTCGTAACGGCATTCGTTTTCTTAATACAAGGTGTTGAAAAATAAATTTTTTTACACATTTTTCACGATTATGTCGAAACTACTGGCAACATTGTGATGAAATTTTGTATGAATGTTTCTTGAAATCTTACACATCACATGAATTTGTTTTTATATCTGACTCTCATAGAGGGCGCTAGTTACAGGGTTCGTACCGAGTAGTAGAACATAACTTTTTTGAGGTTATATTTTTCGATCCGAATATAATATGAGCTCGAACATCATTCAATTTTACACCAAAATGGTACTCTTGGCGAATCTCGATACTATGTTCCGTTTTCGGAATATTTCGATTTGAAAATAATGGAGTAATAGCTGATGCTGGTATAAAATGAATCTTATTGAGTTCAATTACCTATTTATTCAGATTCAAAAACAATGAAATCATTCTTGTGCTAAAGTTATTGATGGAACAAAGAATCATAATTAGAAAATTAAGAGATATTTGACTTGAAACATGAAATATTGAATCAGTTATAGTAAGTGTTCAAAATGTCCTACGTTTCGAGGAATACACGATTCTATATTCTTTTTTTAAGAATGTATTATTCTTCTGAACAGTTGAGGATCAGCTGTTAAGTCATTAAAGTGATGTTCAATTATGTCTCACAACTCTTGACGTGAATTTACCTATGTAGCATAGACTTTCTGCTCAAGATACAACAAAAATGTGTAATCCATGTTCTTAGTCAAATCTGTTTCGATGTTATTCTTGTGATTTATTGTTCAATCAATGAGTTCTGTATCAGAAATGTATTGCTGTTTTCGGTTTTCAATAAATAGGTGATGATTTTTCATATCACTCTAATACATAGCTTTATACCAGCAACAGTTATCACTTCAACATTTTCGACTCGAAATATTCTGAAAACGGAACACAGTATCGAGTTTTACCAAGAGTACCTTGTTTTGTGTGGAATTGAATGATGTTCAGGTTCACATCAAATTTGGATTGACAAATCTAACCTCAAAAAAGTTATGTTCAAAACTACTCGGTACGAACCGTGTAACTAGCGCCCTCTATGAGAGTCAAATATAAAAACAAATGCATGCGATGTGTCAGATTCCAAGAAACATCCATACAAAATCAGTAATTTCGACATAATCTCGAAAAATGTGTGAAAAAATAATTTTTTCAACACCTTGTATCTTGATAACGGATGCCGTTACGAAATTTTTTTACTGAGTAAACCCAACTTATTTTGCAGTGTTCTACCTACCCTAGTAAGAAGGTAAGGTTTTTTTGAAACACCCTGTATATGTTGGAGTTCAGTTGTGGAGCATGGTGTGACTATTTCAGTAAACATGTTTGTGCAATGTCATGTTTGTGGTAAAGAGTGGAGTGGAACTTGGCTCTCAGATAACAACTATTGATTAGTAATTTGTCAATAAAAACATCATTCAAAATCTAAATGATGATATTTTGTGACATAATTCATAAGACTGAACTCTAATATTGCTCTGACTATTGTTTATTTAAATGTATAGGCTAGCTTAGGCGAGTTGGTTGATTTTATTCAGATCGACAATGTTCTGAATTCATCACCGGTCTCCAGTTTTACCGAAACGTCACAATTTCCAAAAAATTGTTGCTGAGTCATACTATTTTATTCTGAATGATAGTTCGATGGAACCCATAAACAACCTTGATGAAAGTTATGTGAAACATATGAAACTGATTTGTTGGACCATAACCCCATTTCTTATGTTATATTATATGTATATTAGCCTCTGATGAATTGAGCGCTTCCAAATCCTAGGTAGAATAGTTTGATATACCTGTTCTGACTCTTGCACATGAGAAAACGCTGTGAATAAAAATGTGGCATATAGTTCCTTTGCAGAACCTCAAATCTGTTAAAGCCCGCACATTGAGACGCAGGCAACGCAGGTGACACAATGCTGGCCAATACGTGTTTTTATTAAAATTAATCAAAAACTTTTATTCAACTTGCAAAGTATGTGTGTTTGTTCCGGTGGAATCTTTGAAGTAGATATCTTCAACCGATGGAGCTGAAATTTTGTATACACCTTAATTTTGGATGACAATGCACGATAAGGTGTGTGACGTTATTCTATATCCAATATGGTGGACCATCCAAAATGGCGGAATAGTTATTTTTAATGCACTTTTACAATATGGGTTTCGAATGAAAGGGCTTGCCGAGAATAATTTAAATAAATGTGACATCACACTAAATCCAATATGGCGCACTATTGAAATTTTGTGTGCTTCCCTATAAAATGGAAAGGTTCGCTAAGAATAAAAATGCAGGTTCAAAATAAATCCATTTTTAAGCCTGTAATCGATTGATTAATTTTGACTTTCGTAATTTGGCAAGATGGGCATCATACTGAGAAACCTAGCCAGTGAAAAACATTTGTAAAAAACTTATTTAAACGCTCTAAAAAGAAGAAAATGAAATTTTCCTTTCAGATTTTAACTATCACCATATAACCTCATACATAATTTATATGACCATAAAAGCTTGTCGAGATGATCAATATTTAATTAATTTGAAATTTAAAAACGCTTCTGTTTTTTTCACTTTCGATTATTTTAATTCAACGTTGAATTTTGAACAACTTAGATGGATTGTTTTATATCACAAAAGTAAATAGCTCTGGAATTATGAACTGAAGAATATCATGTTGACTATTTTAGTACCAATTCAGTGAGGAACCCTTACAAATGAAACACAATGTATTTCACTTTCCTATACTAACCGTTGGAAAGCTTTCAATATTTTTTGTAATGTAAAATAAAGAAGTTACGAGAGCGGGGACGATGCAATTTTGATCGTAACTGTTTATTAGGTCTGTTGTGGCAGTCACAGTCACAGAAATTGTTATAAGATACGGAAGGATACAGTAGGGTCCCTTGATGTAAATTGACGTATTTGTCATGTCATCTAAATGACAAATACGTCAATTTACCCCTAGGGTATCATCCTAGGATACAGAAATTTGAATTGACCGCCATCGCTCTGATTGGTCGAAACAGGCACCCATACCGAAAGTCATGGTTATTTGAAATTTAGCATATAATACCGCCTAACGGTCGACAAGACAAGTCGCAAAGGAACATTATACAACCGCCTAGCGTTCATATAGACGCCACGTTTCATTTGTTTTTGTTGTGGTTCATAATGAGGTTAGAAATACTATAAAATAAATATGATTTATATTATTCATTTCTAATAATATTATGGAGCTGTGAAAGTGATATAATTTTTATAGAATTTGAAATATGTTTCTTAATACTCCTGATAAATTAGAGAGCCAGCCTTTGAAAGAATTACGACATGATCTCCTGTTGAATTTCAGTGAAGAAAGCCTTTTCCTAGGAAGGGACAGATCATCTTTCAATGTTAATATTGAGTTGCCTTATCCTATTGACGAACCTTCGAAGACTTCCGAAGATATAGTTACAAAAATCATTGTGGAAAAATCGGAGTATGCCAAAAATCTCGATTTGAAGAGAAAAGGATTTCATCATGATGAGAAGGATATTTTTCGAGAAAAGTATGCTGGACATGAGTATATTAACATTCCTAAACACTTGTTGGAATTATACCTCAAGAATGATCCTGATAAGTTTTTCAATTGTGATTACAATTTTTACTATACTGGGGGTGTTCTAGAACATATTGTGTTTAATAATGAAGATTATTTAATCAGACCAGATGTTGACAATAATTTGTGTATTAGTAATTTGTTGAATGGATCTAATGAGAAATTTGACTATTCTGTGTCATCACCAATATATAATATCAATTCCAATCAAAATGCTGGTAAAACATTCTTTGTTTTAAGAGAAAAACAGAGGATTAGTATAGTTGAACTTGAAGACAACAAATCTCTACGTTTCATGCATGAATTTGATTATCCAGTACCTGTATTAGATGCCAAAATGAGTACCTATCATCCTCATCATTTGGGTGTTGTATCATTTAATAAACTTCAAGTGAAGAATTTAGAAACTAACAAGACATTAATTAGTTTGAAGAGTAACTTAGAGTCTGATAATGATCATTTTCAACAGTGTCAGTTCATGAATGAAAACATAATCTTGTTAATGAATAGATTCAGTATTAAGTTCTTGGACTACAGAGATCATACAGAAGAAGCTGTTTTTGACCCCAAATTGATTGACTGTAATTCTCTATGTACCTTCAACATATTGAATAATGATTTATTATTAGTATCAAGGCACTATCTATTGAAAACAGACATAAGGTACCTCACCAATACAACACATTATTCTCATTCACTCAATGTACCTCCTTGTTACATGGATTTCACTACTGAGAAAGAAGAAACATATTTATGTTTATCTGGTCAAGATGTGGATAGTAAGGTATTATTCACTGGAAATTGTCCATATTCTATGCCAATTGAAGTTCCTAGCATCAGGCAAACACTGAAAATTTGCAGACTGCAGAATCCTCCCTTAGTTCTGAAAGATCACTTAGACAAAAGATTGGAATATTCGGTAACTGGCATGAAAGTTTTGAATTTGAATGGTGAACTTTCAATATTTTCAACAAATTGCTTAGGAGAAATATTCAAACAAGAGATCTCCAATGCTAAGCTAGACAATGAGAGACCAGTCAAAGGTTTAACTAACTGGATTGATCATCTGGAAGAACCTGAACACACTTTGTACTTGACTCATGTGGAAGAAATGAGTAAAGCACGTTTTGCTTTGAACTGTTGTCCAAATGAAGATCGTTTAAAGAAGTATGGAAAAGAAGGCAAAGCTAAAAAATTCTTGGCTGACTATGCACCTAAATTTTCAAAAGTGAATGTGAAAAGTTTGTTAGCTAAGGATTTCCTTGATGTTTGGAATGATGATGAGGATGATGCTAGTGAGGAAGAATTGCCAGAAGTTCCTGTAAATGATAAAGTCAATGATTGGATCCAAACTCATGATTTCTCTGATGATGATGATGATGATGCTAAGGCATTCTTGGATATGGTCAATAGTCAGAAATAGATATTATGTGATATATAGTTATCATGGACCAAATAGCTCACTTGAACAAGTATGTTTTTTATTTGAGAAATAAAATGAATTTTTTCAATGTGTTGATTTTTGTTCTTGCTGTTTTATCTACCTATCTAGTCCCAAAATCTTTAATGATAGCCAATGATTATTCATTTTCTTAATTTATTTATTCATTCCTTTATTTATTTAGTCATTTATTTATTCCTTTATTCATTTCTTTATTTATACTGGGTGTCCTACAATTGCTGGGGCACAGAGCTACCACATGTAATACAAAACAAAATGAGTTGATTGGACCCAAATCATTTATATAACAAAATGTATGGTTTGTCCGTGAGACAAGTTTGAATTTAATATAAAAAAAACACATTTTTGTACACTGTTCAATAAAGTGCATTTTAGAGTATTATCCTCCTTTCCTTAATCAAAGAAACCCAGAAGAACTTGTAGAAAGGTTGAAACCACCCTCATCCCCTGACATTTTTTTCAGAACATTCTTAGGGGTGGTAATACGGTTCTCAAATTTTCTGGGCGAGATGACTAATTATCTTCATTTTGCCACCCTTGTGCAAATTTTGTATTCCCCATAGTTCCCAAAGGAAAACAAATCTTGAATAATGCTAACAGAAGATTTCATATTTTATTTTCAAACTCTTATCGTGTGTGTTCAATAGATATAATTCAATGTTCGTCCTGGCAAATAGCCAGGAAAGTAGTCGTTTTCTATTGAATAAACTGAAAGGAAAGGGAGTTGATATTCTCATCACATAGAGAATGCGAATTCTCAATGTATTGCTTTATATAAATATATATCCATTTTTGTATGTTCATTATTTATCTGAGAATATTCCTTTTCAACACTTTCATACCCAATCAGGGGGTTCAAACTTGAACGATAGAAACTTGTGATTTTTATAGACCTCTAATCGCAGATTCATGGAGTCTCAATTCAGAATTTCTTTCCACGCCCTGTATGATGAATGTCAATTTATCATACACCCAGAAGCAAAGTTCAATATCATTTTAATGAAAGATTAAGTTGTCAGTGGTAACAAAGGCAGAACGTTTTTTCTTAATGTTCAATATGATGCACACCTTCATCAATACAAATGTCAATTCGTTTTACTAGGAATATCTGTTAACATTATTTGAAATTTTTTTTCTTTCCGAACTATGCGGAATACGAAATTTTCACAAGAGTAACAAAATAAAAACAATAATAATAAATTACTTTATTGATCATAATATGTAAATGTAAACAAATATATAATACAATACAATCAAGTGGCCATCGACCTGAGTCCTTCAGCCAGTATGGTCATATCTCATTTTGAAATGTTATCTCCTTTGAGTGGATTGAAAAGTGGAAACAGTTGTTTAAAAAAAAACGATGATTTCAGGTGATAAAATCTATGGGATTTCAGTTAGATCATGGAGTATCGTTATCAGAGACTTTTCTGGAAATTTATTTCTTGGGCTAACATTAGTCCTTTCAATTATCAGTGGAGTCATCAGATTCATGTTCTCGGGTTTGGAGGCAAATTTTTTAGACAGTGTAGGTAGTCTTTCCTGTATCTTCTGCACCTTGGTCGTGGAATATAGCAGATCATTGGGTGGGTTGTGTAGCACATTGTCTGGGTGACGCATTCTGGTGATGGTTTGAAGTGCGGAGGTTTCGGCGATTTGCAGGTTCTTCATTGCTGGGTTTCTAATGTTCAGATATAGTGGGTGGCCATATTCTAATATTGGTCTGCAGATTGATTTGTATATTCTACTTGCAGTGCTGATGCCATGGTCTCTATATGTTAAAGATTTGAAATGCTTTGCTCTTGCTTTAACTTTATTTGCCATTGCTGTGTGGTGATTGAAATTCAGCTTATGGTCAAGATGGATACCCAAATATTTTACAGTGGAGCGTGGATGAATCTGATGATTATTATTGATAATGATGGTGGGAGAATTGATGGCTGGGGTATGATTGAAAATTATCATTTCCGTTTTCAGAGGGTTGATTTGAAGTCTCCATTTGTTGAACCAAATATGGATTTGGTTTGATAATTGTTCGAGTTGTTGAATGGCGACAGTTTTGGTTCGCTGATGTGATATTAATGCTGTATCATCTGCATATTGTAATATGTATGTCTGTTGATTTACCACCTGTTGTTGTATTCCTTGTAGGTCAGCACAATATATATAATAATTAATCATTTCGCTAAAAATAACCCTATTACCATCCATATAAGAATGTTCTGAAATAGTAATTTTCCTAACAAGTGCGAGTCCGCATGAGTTAGGAACAATATTTTTTCTACAAGCGTAGGAAATTGATTGATTAGTTCAATTAATTATTCATGCATATAGGAACAACTAACAAGAGAAATATATTCTCTATCTACTGATTATTACTAATAGCTATTGTGAACTTACAGTTTGACGCATTATGTATAGGCTCATTGCGGAAGCCAGCAGGCCCGTAAGGTGTTTGGTCTCTAGGTCTCAGACACTTCTAGGAAATGAGCCAAAAATACTTCTTCTTTATTCGGTGTTTTCATTTCTTTATTGTTGCACCATTCAATAAAACGCGTGTATAGCTTCTCATACCTTTCTCAAGACTTCGTTGGCAATAACACATCTGTATCGCATCCCTATTGCTGGAAGTTTTCGATCACATTGTGGCAATTCCACTGAATCGAAAATGACAGTAACGCTGTGTCTGTCACTTCGACAATTACCTACAAACTCATTTGAGGTTTGATTGGCATGACAACAATAATCGTTTCCCATCAGATCAATCCAAATCTATAGGGGGATTTTTATAATAATCAATTTTCATTTTTCAATATTTCTCAATTTTCCCAATAAATAGTGCAATTGGATGGATGATTCTGAACATACATACTTAATACTGCAACAAACAAACTTGAACTTTCATATTCCATCACCTACCACTTATATTTTGCGATATTATCATATCTTTGCTTTTCCCGCACTAGTGCGGGACAAAATTTCCCGCACTAGTGTGGGAAAAATTTGTCCACATTGTTGCGGAAAAATGACACTTCCCAAACTAAATTGCGTGCGGGTATATGGTGAATCACGCACGCTTGTAGAAAAAGAAAATGTCAGGGGGTGAGGTTGGTTTGAACCCTTCTACAATTCCTTGCAGTGTTTTTTGACTACTGAAAGAAGGGTTATCTTCTGGAATGCACTTGTCAAATTTATTATTCAGTAAGAAAGTTCCTCATTGACTCGTTAGAGTGAATCAGTTATAACGACAATTTTTATCCCCCATTTTTGTGTATTTGTATATACAGGGTGTTTCAGATTCAAATGTACATACAATGCCTGTAGATAGAGGACACTTTGATGATTTCAAATCACCCTTATTGATGTGTCTACCGTCTTTTCTAACTGAGATTCAGGACGTAATCTTGAATTTGGCAAAATCTTAATCTGGTCATAACATATTTGAACCACTCTGTATAATGTTTCCATATCTGGTAAAAATATTCAACTCATATTACCATCAAGAGTAAATGAAATTCGGCATCAGAATCCAGGCCCGTCTTGAGGAAAAACAGAAAACTCCTTTTATTAAAAAAATACTCTGTATGGCAAAATTTGATAGCTCATAAGTGACATTTTGAACTTCAATATTGATTTCAATTCAATTTTTGATTTTCCATATCATCGACAGGTGTGATGCTAAAAAAATTGAATCCTGTCAAAAATGTAAAATTTCTTGATTTATCACCAAATTGAGTTCATCAAAATGGTTTGGTGTACCATATGATCCTAATACACCCGGTATACTAGGTATGTCCACCCAACCATGAAAGGCACTAACCGCGTTCACATGTCCAGGAGCATGTTGCTGATGTCAAAATAAGAAGAAAAGTTTGTATAAATATATGTCCGAAAGTTTATGAAATACAGAGTGTCAAAGTTGAATTCTTATTTTTGTTCTTTGTTAATGAATTTCAAAATAATTCTGATATTCGAATGAAGTTTGGTATCTAGGAGTATTTTCCAATGACAATATCAGATGTTATGTTAGTTTGTTCCTTTCGTGGGGGTGGGATCACCTACATGTCTTTTGAGTCTTTTGAAAAGTCGTAACTTTTGTGCGTACCTGTATCACGTTTTATAGTAGAAGAATAGACTTCTAGAACACTTTCGGGTGAAAAATATATTCCTGGTAGAGGTCGCTGCGAGCAACTGTTTTCGAGTTATTGGGATTTGAAATAATCGATGCATTTGAATTATTTCCATGGGGCTCGCAAGTCGCCTCTAAGTAATAAATATAAGGAAAGATACGCCAGTGCATTTTTCTTCTTTCATTCAATATTCTCCTACATTAAACATTGGAATGTAGGCAAAAGAGGATTCTTACTTCTTGGTACCTACTTTTTCGGACTCTTCCAATTTAAAAAAATAACAATCAAGTGAGTACTTGTCATGTTATTTCAATCCGTTCTTGTGACAGTGAAGTTTGTTGTCTTCTATACTTGTGGTCCAAGCTTTTTCAGATGGCAGCATACTTGAATAGCGAAATCGCTAATATAATATACGTATACGGCCTTGCCGATGGCAATTGCTACGAAGCTAGACGTATTTATAATCATTCCAAATTACTTGTATTGTTATTTTAAATCCCAATAACTCGAAAACAGTTGCCCGCAGCGACCTCTATCAGGAATATATTTTTCACCCGAAAGTGTTCAAGAAATCTATTTTTCTACTATAAAACGTGATACAGGTACGCACAAAAAAGTTATGACTTTTCACAAGACTCAAAAGACATGTAGGTGACGCCACACCCACGAAAGTGACAAATTTACATAACATTTGATATTGTCATCGAAAAATACCCCAGGATACCAAACTTTATTCAAATATCACAATTATTTTGAAATCAATTAACAAAAAATAAAAATTCAACTTTGACACTCTGTATCTCAGAAACGAATAACTTTCGGACATATATTTATACGAACTATTTTTCTTATTTTGACGTAAGCAACATGATCCTGGATTTTCTACACGTACTTGAGAAACACCCTGTACATGTTTCATTACAATAATGATGATATGATCAAAATGAAATATAGTGATCAAACATGAATAAACCAAACTAGGCGACCCATAAAAACAAGGTTCAAAAAACACCTCGCACATTTGAAATATGGTACATTGGATAAATCGTGTATGTTTAACCAAAATCATAACACACAATGAAAAACATTAACTTCGCGGTTAGTTCCTTTCATGGTTCGGTTGACAGATACTTTTTCATTGTCAATTTTTGAGCTCGACAGAACAGCTTTCAGAGATTTTTCGTACTACGTTTCGTTTCGGGAAACCATCTCAACTTTACCCCATTATAGATATCCTTATCTTGGACACACTGTATAAGTAGCACACAAGATAAGCATATTTAGTTTTAATATTTACCTGAAGATGCTAAGATAACTAGCAAAACACGTGTAGAGGCGTTGAAAAGTCGGTTTTGTTATTAGTAAAACAGTGTAGTGGATTATCGTGCCAAAGATTTCAATCTTCCATATTATATCACTTCAATACTGTTCAATACTGAATGAACGATTCGATTTTCTTGCCTTCATACTAAGATTTGGTCATGCATTCAAAGAGGGGTTTTCGATGCTTTCAGAAATATTGTATTTAACCTAATGGAATTTTGTCAAGAATCATCTAGCAAAAAATCAATTCAATTTGACCTCGGAGATTACTGGAAATCAAGTAGATGATCTATTATAATTTTTTTATTGATAATCTGGTATTTACTTCGCCACTCTGTGAACGATCACTTTGACCTTCAACTCTGAGCTTACTTTGTTTATGAATTCCTTGTACATTATTTTCAAACTTTTGTCAATCTCTCTACGATGTTTTGTCGGTTCCCAACTCCAAGTGCCCCCAAGTACTTAATAATAAACCTATTCCTATATACATTTATTGAAAAATATTCAGATTCCTAACATGGGTTCGTTCACGTAATCACTAATCATAAAATTATATGTATGCTTCCAGACACATGATGAAGATATTTCAAGTTCATATACCGAATTGTTAACTGTTCTGATTTGAAACGACTTGCTTCTAATACTTGAGTGCAGTCGTTCTCGTCTCCGCTTGCATTACAAGACATTGGACTTCCACTCACTAATATGTCACCTTGTAAAATATTTAATCGAATCTCATTTAATTTTTCAGGGTGGAGTTTCTGCTATGGACACCTCCCGTACTTCGATGATAAAATTCAGTCCGTCTAATTCAGAGTCAGGATCGGATTGCTTCAAAAAGATGTACTGTAGTCGACTACCATTGAGAATAACAGAGTGCATGAACACAAGCGTTCTAGATTGTGCAGTCACTTTTACGTGTGACAAGAATGTTTGTGTCTACGGAATACAGGTAGATGAGAGATGAATCACCACTGACATAACTACTATATAGACCGCTATGTCATATCCCAGCAACCCAAAAATTCCATCCTGAATACGCTTCTGTTTAATGCGCAGGATCTCCCAAACTGTCGTTCATGAGATCGAGTCTTGTCTCTTTTTTTTCGGAAACAAGAGTAAGATATATGACAGGTCCTCGCAAATGAATGAGGTTTGATCTTATGGCAAGAGCGTTATATTTAGTCATTTATGTCGGTGTTCTTTACTTTTAGTGTTTTGTTTCAATCGAAAAACTAAAAACGCTGAACGCTAATGCAAGATTACTCAAATTTTCTTCAAGAGAGCGACATGATTGAACAGATTTATCATTGATCAAACTTCATTTGACAATTTATTTATTGTAATACTTATCGAGATCATGATTTGGAGGGTTTAATTCCATCTTTGAAAGTATTTTAGTGAGTTGAGTGTGACAATTTTGATACCGACATGTATAGCAAAATGATTATCAGAAAATTTAGAGATAATCTTTGACATATCTTGCACCAGAAGTTTATATTGGATGTGGCTGGACTTTGACAAATTTACGGCAAACGATGTAATATAATAACCGATCACAAACCTTTACAATAGCTGGTTTCTCTCAAAACTCAAAATTGGCCTGATGGAGAATAAAACTAGAAGAGTACAATTATATTATCAAATACAGTGTTGGGATGAAGTATGAAACCAAGCAAATATCTCGGTAACCCTTGGTTAGATTTTTTTGAATTCATGTACAGGGTGATTTCAAAACGTCGGATTCGAAAATGTTATCGCCAATGTTGCCGCTTTTTCAGTTGTTCCGGAATTATTATTGACTTCCTTATTATAAATAGAACACCTTGTATTTTAATTAATTTTCAGTTTATTCCTGAAAAGCTGATTTCATCGATCTATCACACTTGGGGAAACTACTCATTATTGGTCAAAACGGCTCACATGTCCGTATCCGTAACTTTTGATTTACTATATCTACTGACATTTAATTGAAACAGATACAGGGTGATCAGAATTCTGATTCTTGAACCACTCCGTATTCGTTCTAATTAAATGACAATAGATAGTAAATCAAAAGTTGAGATAGGGACATGTGAGCCATTTTGACCAATAATGAATAGTTTCAACACAAAAAATCGTTAAGTTGTAAAATCTTGATTTTGAACACCCTAAATCTCTGTAATCATTCCCGCTAGACCCCAAGTGTGATAGATCGATGAAATCAGCTTTTCAGGGAGAATCTGAAAATTTATTAAAATACAGGGTGTTCTATTCAAAATAAGGAAGTTGATAATTTTTTTTTCGATAACATTTTTAAATCCGATACGATTTGAAATTTACCCTTTACATCAATTCAAAGAAATCTAACAAACGGTTACCGAGATATTTGCTTGGTTCCATACTTTATCCCAACCCTAAAAAGGGCACACAAAATACCAACGCCGACGCTATTTCCAGAGTAGAAATACACACCAAAGAAACAGAGGACTTTTGTAGTCAAGCAGACGACATACTGAGGGACACAAACAATTACAACAAAACAAAAACAGATCTTTTCCAAGAACCTAACGATACACACTCCGCGAATCCTCCCATAGACTCCTTTGTCGAAACCATCCCAATTCTAATCGATGACATGGACACTATTTCGACCAAAGTACAACCAGATCCCAAACTTTACAGAAACACAGAATTTTCGAAAGACTACCTGAGACTCACGAGAACGAAACTCAAATTTCAAACAATCACGTTGAAAACGATAATGACGAAGATCAAACTGTCCACTCGAATAACGAACAAAATCCAGTCTTCGAAATTCCAATCATGGGAACAGCAGTAAACAATGGACTGAATCAAATAATTATTAGCTCAGTTCTGCATTCCCCATGGAAACCAAAAATCAGAATTCTTTTCGGCAAGAAGAAACGTACATTTCTTCAACTTTCACAGAATAATTTCGAGAAAGACACGATTGGTTTCAAGAAAATTCACGAAAGGAAGAAAACTGAAAATAAATTCAAAAATGCAACCGTACTTGTTTCAATAAATAATCGACGTAAAACGGTATCTACTAACGCTCAACAAAAGATTCATATGGAGAACCTCAACCGGTCCCTCAAAAATACCTCCAAAGACTGAGGAAATACTTATATCTCTTTCAGCTTACCCGGTATTTCATGGGCCCCAGAAGCAAAAATTTAGACAACAACCCTGGCTTGATCCCACTCAAGATTGGCAATGCAAAAATCCAAGAAAGCTCACATCGACTTGAACACTTACAATATTCAGCCTTCAAGTTCGGAAATAAACCTATTGAAAACCTAGTCACGCCAATTAGACGTCTCGATAAAGAAAAATCCGGTTTACGTGAACGACTCTTCAAATTACCTGAAAATTCTGAGATTCATTGAAGAAAAGGTAGAAAATAAACTAACAGAAATATTACCACATCCAAGTAGAACCAAACGCGGCTTAATAAACGGTTTGGGGTTAATTTTCGAAGCTATTTCAGGAAATGTGGACGCAAGTGACGGAGAACGATACGAAAAACTCATTGATCAACTGCAAAAGAACCAAAAAGAATTGGCATCGAATATCAGAAGTGAAAATTCACTATCTATCAGATTGATCAACGAATTTGATAAAACTGATCAGAATATCGTTCGTAATGAAAAACTCATCGAATCCAAAATAAATCAAATTACTAAAATTGTAGGTCAAGTATTCAGAGAAAATTCAATGTATATAAAAAATATCCTCAATGAAATTACTAGCTTGTACGAAATGATCTTTTTCTACGGCTATAACACAAGATTGCTCTTGTTTTACTGTGTTCGATACATCAATGAGGTACTTTGTTTTTCATCAATTTTATTTCCGTATCTGATATTACAATGACTCCATTGTGTTATTATTTCATAAAAATCTCATCGCCCAGGGAATGTCAAATTTCAAGCAATAACAGCTCTGTCTAATAGATGAGCATTACTTGACAGGACATCAGATGGCTTCAAGACGAAGAAATCGAAAATGCCGCTGTTATCTATTATAGCCGTAGAAAAATTATAGTGTATTACTTGCACGGAATGCTAATTTCCTACTTGAATGATTGTATCATTCGCCTATGGCTCATGCTGCAAACTTCATCCTCGTAGGAAATCACTATCTTTCCGTTAAACAATATACTATTTTCTATGGCTATAGCACAACATTGCTCTTGTTTTACTGTGTTCGATACATCAATGAGGTACTTTGTATGTCACCAATTTTGTATGTATGTATGTGTGTGTGTGGGCGGTCCGGGACCTGACGCGCTTAGGCCTCCCTTTTCGGGCCCATTGTGCACCCACATTCCTGGGATCGCAAGTCAGCCATGGAGAAGGCCGATCTCGCGAGCAAAAGAGACAACTTCCTAGGCCAAATCTTCTTAACATCCTCTGGGTCCAGGATACTGCTCCCAAAATGGATATCCCTTGCTGCCACTATTGCCGGGCATTCAGTGAGGATGTGAGTAGAAGTCTCTTCATCCTCTAGGCACCATCTGCATTCTGGATCCTCCACAATCCCGATCATGCTGAGATGTTTGTTCAGGTGGCAGTGCCCTGTCAGCAGGCCCACCACCAGTTTCAGCTCCTTCCTGTTCAAAGCCAAGAGGGCATTGGTCTGTCTTCGTGACGGGTTTCCTATATGGAGTTTGGACTGCCTCATTCGAGGAGCCTTTCTCCAGCTGTCCTGAACCTTTTCCGTCACCAATTTCATTTCCATATCTGATATCACAATTACTCCATTGTGATGTTATTTCAAAAAAATCTCATCGCTCATGGAAAGTCAAATATCAAGCAATGACAGCTCTGTCTTATACATGAGCATTACTTGACAGCAAATCAGATGGCTACAAGACGAAGAAATAAAAAATGCCGCTGTTATCTATTACAGCTGTAGAAAAATTATAGGTTATTACTCGCACGGAATGCTAATTTCCCATCGCCTACGGCTCATGCTGCAAACTTCATTCTCGTGGGAAATCACTATTATTCCGTGCTCGTTAAACAATATACTATTTCAGTACTTCAAGAGGCTACATGAGTTTCAAAGTTACTCGAGACAAGCATAATTTTCTTCTGGAATTATCTCATTTATGATGTGAAACACTAAAGCGCCAGTCTTCCTGGTCGGTCTGGGGGACTTATGTGGGGGCGAGCGGAGAAAGTTTCATAATTTCGAAGGTAATCATAAAGTTATTAGTTCAGTCATGAAAATTCGTGTACTTGTAGTATGTGACGTCAGAAAGATAGTTGCTCATGTAGCCAGAGCTCTCAGTCTGATAGAAAACTCGATGATATTTTCAAGATTGGGAATAATGCATCCTAGCATCATGAAAACAGCTAACCTTTTCAATGAGCTCGAATTCATTCAAAACAATTCGGTAGGTAATTGTTTACCCCTAGACGTCATCACAGAAAACGTGTTAGGTACTTCTAGAGAAACTGGGAAAATAGATAGTTACTCATTCAATAATAGAATCATTTATATCTTGACTATTCCAATATCATTCGAAATGTTCCACCTATATTTCATTTCTATTCCCGAAAAGTCAGTTCAAGGTACATACCTAAAATAAATTTTTGGCTATAAATGAGTTGTACGATGCATACAAGATGACGACTGTACGAGACTTGCACCTCAGTCCTATTTCTGCGATGAAAATCCAAGGAATCCAAGAGAACTGCTGCGAAATCCATATTCTGAGCCTGAAGAACACCTCCACATGTCCACAGAAGATTGTCTATCTCCTATCCCATAATCAGAAGATTCGAAGAATATAACCAATGGGTGACCGTGATGCCCAAAGAAGAGAATATCAAAATCAGCTGCCACACACGAGAAGAAATAATGAAAATAAAAGGAACGAATTTATTCGGAATTTCAATTGGATGCCAAATCACCAGGACACTGCGAAACATCACCAACGAAGAATATTTCAGTAGTGAAGAAAATCTCGAAGTTGGCCTGGAAGCCATCGAATTGGACGACCTATATAGCATCAAGACGATGATAGCCGAAAAAAAGCCGTACTCGTCTTTCGTCCAAAAATTCTACAGTCCTAGTGCCCGGACGATTATGTTGTATGGATCCGGAACCCTAATGATCGCCTTCATCAGCTACAAGGGCATTAAATCGAAATGGTGTACCAGGAAGAGGAACGGGAACGAACAACCCGTGATGACCCATTGCCGATTCCAAGAAAATGCCGATTGCTGCAAGACGTCTTTCGTACTTCATGTTAACTAGATTATAAATATTGGTGCCACTTGTATTCTCGCACTGATGTTGGCCAGAATCTTGTTTTGTATCAATCCAAAATAAATATTTTTAAAAAAGGACTCGAGCATTTCGGAACGTTATTTAGGATGCTTACAAACAACCGAACCCAACCACAAAGATCCGCCATTTTGTACCGCTCCTTTGTCTGGCGCTCAACGGCTAACTATTAGCGCCTAAGAAAGTCTCTATCAAAATTCCTCGAAAATTTTGCTATTAGATTGTAGGATAATTAAATCCACTAAAGGGGCTATTCTCGATCCGATCGAATTCAATTCGTATACGAATAAACAAAGATGCTTTTACGTATGTGACGTATGTTGAAATAAAATAGGAGATCGAATTCGTATACGAATAACGCTCGAGAATAGACCCCCGGATACTGTTCAGGAATTATAAGGACATCGGGTTGTAGTGGTAGCCATAGAAAAATTTGTGTCATCATTTTTAGGTACCTGCACAAATGCCTTTAGATGAAGATCGCATGCCGCTGAGCAGTGTATATCCAGAGTTGTTGTACGCGCACCTGTTGGATGCTGATGGTAGTCGTCTGACCTATACGCATTTCACTAGTAGGGTCAATTATAGGTCACTCATCGAGATTTCTTTCAACAGACCCATCTATATTCAAAGGAACAAGGTAAAAAAAATTGATGTGTATTTTTTTTCCATAATCCATTGGAGAAAAAATTCATTCAGTTCTTTATATACAGTGTGTTTTGTTTCAAACTTAAAAACATCATGTTTCGAGAAGCCAGGGTGTTTAAAGAGTGCAACTTGTTCTACTTATTTGCAATAATTTGGAGATCCATCATAGTAATTATTTCATTAGATGAAACTGGTATATATTTGAATCACAGTTATTATGAAGGATGTATCATTGTGACAAGTACCCTTAAATTACTTTTTTAACTTTACTGAAAAGTAGCAACAACTTTGTTATTTCAAATGGAACACCCTGTATTTCATTGCATTTTTAAATTCTCCTCTAAGAGCTAATTTCATCAATGCATCACACTTGAGATCAACTTTAAGATTTTTTTGTGTCGAAAGTTTTCATCATTGGTCAATCCGCTTGATTTTTTGAGGAAAGCACTACTGGTGGACATTATACGTTTTATTTGATGAAGAAGATGCAAAAATTTAGAAAAACAATAGTTAACTAGAATACATCACTGGATCAACGCAAAAACCATATAAGTTCTTGCATGACTCAGTTCCATTTGGCATCTTCTTCTATGAATTCTTCTGCTCTGTTAAAACTGAAAATGTAAGCCCTCATTATCATAGGTAGAACTAACAACCGAAATGGCATGATGAACTAATTTAGTATATAAATTTCAAATCAGGAACGTTGAATTCTCCATAAAGACGTGGGGAACCAACAAATAAAAACAAATGACAAAAAAGGAACAAAAAGCAGTCAGCTGTTCGAGGGATAATATGTGAATTGACACAACATAAAATCACCCTCCCCCCCCCCCCCCGGACTACGGAAAAGAGGGGGTTTCAACCCTCGATCTCTTCCCCTTTACGCATGATTTTTTGTACGGCGTTGCGGAATAATGGATTTTAAGAGGTACTGCAACAGTATGGAACTAATGCCGTTCACGATCAAATGACCCAAATTTCCCCAAAAATTAGCCGGAAAAAAATTCCGACTTGCTGGCGCACTATTTTTGTACGGCATTACGCGTTTTCTCATTATTTTTGATGCATCTATAGGTGGCCAGAGTGCCGTACAAAATCATTTGACCAAAATATGCCTACCCAACTTGTGCTTTTCAATTCTCACCTGCACTCAGTTGGACAGCTTACAAGTGACGGCATAGTGCTTAATCTCATTATTTTAAGCCTTTCTATCTTACTACATAGGTCCTCTGGTGGTTCAGATGACCCATCGATTTTTGACACGGGCCTGTAGTTTAACAGATATTCTCATAAATTGATCGACAATGGCACGAAAATAGTCTGCAAGTTAGGCGGTAATTGGTAATACAGGAAATAAATACTTGGATCAGTATTCGTTTACAAGACTCGCTGCACAAATTCCTAAGTGTCGTCCAACGTTTTGTAGAAATCATTTTACTTGTTCACTCCTTTGCACAAACATTTTCAACTTTGAAAATTTAGCTTTATTGTAGTGCCAAAATATTTTTAAATTTCATTTTATACAGGTGTACAAAGTTGGCGTGGTCCTCAACAAAAAAGGCTGTTACCCTATTGGCACCTATCCTAATCAATCGACATGCAATGGCGTAGTCTTTACATTCTCCCAAGGCCAATGTGGAGACTCGGTCCGAGATGGTCTGATTCGATCCATTGTATTCTCATTGTCTTCGTCCAACAACATGATACCTGGTGTACCGGGTGATCATAACAAGTTGCAATCAATAAATATTATATAGATCTACTTATGTTATGTGTGCTATTGTGAAATGGAAAGTTTATTTATGATTTTTGACTTAGATGTTTATTTTTCAGATTTATTCATATATTACATCACTCGAATTGTATCATCTAATTATTATTTTATAATCATCAGTGGTGGCTACAGGGATGGCAGGGTTTGTAGTGCAGACATATTTGTTCATATGATTTCAATTGAATTGATGTTTTTCACCGTTACGCTCAGTGGGCTTTACACCGCACTGTGGCTCATCGGCAATACTGGCAACTGTTAATCCATCTCTGTACAAGGGAATGTTAACAGGTTATATAACGAGCAGGTGGTTTGATTTGTAGAGAGTTGATCAACAACTTGACTCGTGGGTTCGGGCTATATCGTAGACATGTAGGAGAAAAACAGAAGTTTGACTTGAATGAAGACTACATGAACGATAATCCACCCTCAACTCGAATACCGGGTCTTCAACAACGATAAATTACTGGAAATTAACAACTGCTATCAAATTAAAACATAGGCGTACTGAACAAAGTCAAAGCAGGGTTGTAATTTCACTGAAAATTGAAACAAAAGTTGAAACAGAAATAGCATCCTGCTATAATGATTTTTCTTTGTGGGTTCTTGTGAGTTCAAATTGTGGGAGAAAAAGTATACCTTTCACAGTATCATAAACTATTTCAGAAACCAAAATGATTTTCTACCTTTACCTAAAAGCACCATGACGGATTTCCGCGCGTTCCTTTATTACTGTTGTGTCAACCAAAATTGCAAACCATTCCACCGATGTACAGAGATAGTGGACGAATTTTGGTGGCTTTCGAAATGACAGCGACAGCATAACCTCAAACTAACAAAAAAAGTTTGGATTTGAAATCTGTTTGCCATTTGCCTAAGAAAAAAATGGATGAATTAATCGAAATCAGTCTAGAAAATGAAAATAAAAGAATAGCTGCATTATTGACACCAACAGAAATTGAAGAAATTTCGAGTGGTAGGCACTTTTTTCTTTCCCATCATGAATTTCATGAAATTAGTGCAAACATTCAGGAAACTTGAGTACCAACAGAGAATTCTTATTAATGACTATCCATATCATCATAATTTAATGCAATGTTTTGTATTTAGGTTTTTGAGAATTTTTAACCTATATCGTCTACTCCCCAACATAAACAATATTTCATCCTACAAGCCGAAGAAATAGAAGATGTCGCTGGTATCTGTTACAGCCGTAGAAAAAGTATAGTGTATAACTCGCACGGAATGCTAATTTTTTACTCGAATGATTTGCAGCATTCGCCTACGTCTCATGTTGCAAACTTCATTCTCGTGGGAAATTTTGAATCATTCCGTGCTGGTTAAACATTATACCATTTTTATTTCAATTTTCAACTTCAATAACTCCGTAACGAAGCGCGATAAACATTTTTTCATATGAAGTACTATCATTATTTTGGCTCACTCTATCAGGTTAGGTTAGGTTCCATGTGAGTGAGGCACCTCTAGAGGTTACAGTTCCCTAAAATCCACATCTTTTGACAAAGTCCATGGGTGAATTCATAAGCCGCGGTGAGCCCAGTCTGGCAACACTGTTCAAAAGTTCTACCTCCAGCCATTTGCACAAATACGACAAATGTGTTCTGGATGTAACAGAGTGATTGTTTTCAGTTTTCAAGAGGCAATTGATGTGTTATCAAGGTGAAGTATTGTTGAAAGCCAGTGAAAAGTGTAAGGAATATTCTAGTGATCGAGGTATGAGTGAAGGAGTGTTTGTGTGTGTAAAAGTCTCGTCAAAAATCGTTTTTGAATCTAGGTTATGCTTAAGTCAAATTACGCATCGGAAAAGAAATGTTTTGATTTTTAAATTTCCTACCCTCCATACCGCCTTCTCTTCCAAGGCTTCAATACCAGCCAGGCAAATCAGAAACGAACGAGGAAGAAATTTTGACAACATAGATGTGGACTTGCCAACAATTCTCGAATGGGGATCCAATAACTTAGATAGTAGATTTCAATGCAAACAAAACACAAGCATGCCTTTTCTCTAGAAAAGCCGATCTCACTGTGCCCAACATAAGCTTGTCAGGAGTAACCATACCTTTGAAGACATCCATTTCGATGCTTGGTATTACTATCAGCAATAACCTTTCTTGGGACAATCACGTGAGATCAATTGCTAAAAGTGCATCCCAAAAACTTGGTTTTCTGTTTCGCGCCAGGAGCTAGTTCACTTCCAGTCAGCTGCTTATGATCTATAAGGCACAGATCCGACCTGTTCTGGAATACTGTTGCCATATTTGGAGCGCAGCACCCAAATATACCCTGAAACTGTTGGATTCTGTCCAAAAAAGGGCAATTCGTCTCGTGGGTGATGCCTCGCTCACAAACTCACTCACTTATCTGGAACACCGTAGAAAAGTTGGCGATCTGGCTCTATTTTATAGATATTTTCATGGACGATGCTCTTCTGAAATATCAACAATTGTTCCTCTCTTGGCAGTGCCCGCGAGATTAACCCGTCGAGTTGAGACTTCGCACTCCTTCTTGGTCACTTTGGAGACCTGCAGAACATCTCTTTCCAAAGGCTCGTTCATCCAACGAACAGCGAGGCTCTGGAGCACATTGCCAAGGGAGGTGTTCCCCGAGGCATATAACCTTCAGAAATTCTAGAAGAACACCAATTCCTACCTTATTTCCCTTGGTTCTCACGATGTTCTCTGAAAATAACAGGATATCCCTTTTCGTGAGAACCAGAACATAAAAAAAAATCACGCAGGGTGTGCAATTTATTTCGTTGAAACAGATGGATAAATTTGGAAAAATTTGCTAAGAAAGCCACAGTTAGTGACAACAGCAGTTCTCTCTATTCTTCCAAATTTAACAAGTCATCTTTCTAAACCTAATACCTCATTAAGAACAAATCACGATGAAAGACGTCAGAAATGTTGAGCTGTTCAAAATAAACAATAGTTAATTTCGAAAAATCCTACCATATTCTCAATTACGAGCAGGTAGTTGGAGAAAATGCAGAAAAATTGAAAATTGATAGTTGTTGGGATTAGAAAGTCCTTAAGACAGAAAGTGAAATTCATTTTTATCAATTAGGTTCACAGTCAGATGTATTGAAATTAACTTCCCAAGTTGTAGTATTGAATGAGATGCAGGTCCCAGTTTTACTAGGTGATAATAAGTTGGGATTCAATGATTCAAAATGGATTTTTCCCTATGATATGAAATTGAGAAGTTGGTCAAAACTTCAGAATATATTAAATATAATAATATTCTAGCAATATACAGAAACAGCCAAGATAAAATTAGCTCATTTGATGACTTGATAGAGAAAAGTTCGATATATCTGAAAAAAGCCTCATAGTATCTTGTGAAAAAAGCTTATTTCATTCTAGAAATCTTGAAATTTTGATTGATCAATTGAAATAAGTAGACATTAAAAAAAATAATTATGTCCTTTATGTTATACAGCACTTCTCATTCTGTGTATGAAATGGATTAACTGTAGGATTTTTTTAATTTCACCTAACAAACGATACAACAACTATCTTCCAACTTGAATATTTCTTCAAGCAATAACTTGAATGGTTGATGTAAAATGGGACTCTCACCTTCCGGATCACGGCGATGCGGTGTTGCATTTAACTCACCGCGGCTTGTTATAGAGCCTGCTGTGGTGAATTAAGTGAGATTTGTCTGAAATCGATAGGTTCTAAATTGGTAAGGGCAAATATGTCGAACCTCAGACTCTCTAAGCAAGAGCATGAACATAATATGTGTTTAGCCGTTTCGTCTTCCACACAGCAACAATCCGTTTGTTGGTTCAGACTCATCCTTCCCAGGTGGCATCTGAGACGACAGTGTCCTGTAAGCAGTCCTGTCAGAATTCGCAGGTTACCCCTGATCCACTCTAGGATCTGCCTGGTTATATTTTTCGACGGTTTAGGCAGAAACGCCTTCGAATGGGTTAATCCTGGTAGTTCAGACCAGTACGTGAGACTTTTCCCCTTCGCTCAGTCCGAGATAGTTGTTTTGGCCGCACTTACGGTGATCCGACAGAATCGTTCTGGTCCTATGAACACAGATTCCATTCCCTATTGACGAACTTAATAGAATGGGAAATAGGATCCTCGTCACCGTTCTCAGGACCCGATCCTGTACTGGGCAGAGCAAGAAGCCAACATTCGCATGTCCTTAACGAATAGGCGGGCGAAGCACTAGGAACATAGTGGGGGATTGGAGGAATATCAGCGGCTGCATAATTGGATAGAAAAATACCTATCGGTAATAGGTGTAGAAGATAGCTCCATCTGCCGGGAATGTGAAGAAGACAAAGAAACGTCACTTCACTTCTTCGGTGAGTGTAAGGTGTATAGATGGATTTGAAATCTTCAATAGAAGGATTCGATCAGATTATAGGGTACGGGTATACTGGTCTTCATTAGCATGTCACGTGTTGTAAAATGATCCTGTATTATGAAAGAGGCGGCGAAGAGAAGAGATGTCAGGAGAATTGTCATATTTTGTACATGAACTTTATTTTGGAATAAAATTATCTAAAAAGCCTTTCCATCTTGACAAAGAACCTAGAACAACAGGAAATAACGATATCTGATGATATTTCCTACAATTCAGAAGTGGTCCTTATTGGTATCAGAAAATTTTTGGCAGAGTATTGGTGTTAGCGAGATTTCCAAGTCTATCTTGATTGTTTTCTTCTGGTTCCTGGAGTAACTAGTTATCTTTATGGCAGAAGGGGGTACAAGTCCAAATACATAGTACGGCGGAGTTTTCAGCATCGCAGGATTCTCTGATGGAAAAGTTCATGGAAATGATGTTAACTATGGAGCGGAATAGATTGGCTTCGGAAGAGAAGTTTCTCAAGTTGCTTGAAAGGTCTAATGATGGAGAGCAAGAGAATAGGGAATGTCATGCTATTCCTGATTTGGAGAAACTCTAGGAAAACCTGCTAAGGATTGGCTTGTTAGTCTGGAGAGTGCAGCTGTACTTCACAACTGGCCTCAAGGGTATACTCTAGAAACAGCAAAAATCTATGTGGTCAGTACGGATAGGAAATGGTTCACTGAGAGAGCTTCTCAAATCAAAACATTTGAAGATTTCAAAGCGAGTTTCAAGAAAATTTTTGATTTCAAAATGGGTAAAGATGAAATGTGGGAAAAAATTAAGAAGCGAATTCAAGGGAAAAAAATCATTTTTTTTTAAGATAAGGTCACGGTTTGCGCAAGAGCTTAGGATTTGTTTTTGATGAAATAAACGAGCAGGTAATTGTAGGACTGCAAAACAAGAGTATAATTCCTGGTTTGCTTGCTAAGGATACTACAGATACTGATCAATTATTGCATGAGATTGTGAGATTCGAGAAAATAAACAACAAAGCTAACTTTTATACCCACAATAAATCTCAACCTCGTAGTTTTTGGAATAAAAATAAGATTTCTTCAGGTGAATCTGATAATGTTAAGGAACCTTCAGAAATAACTTGTATTTGAGCAGATAATGACGACCCTACTAGGGAAAATCAAAGTGATGAGAAATCTAGAAAGATTTGTTTTAAATGTAAAGGAAAAGGTCATTTCAAGAAAAATTATCCACAAAATACAAATCAACTTTCAACGACTGCCAAAGTTCCATCTGAAGGAAATGCAAGTCATTCGCATACACAGTCTTTGGTGTGCAGTAAAAATACTGAAGTTGATTCGATTCAGAAATTTATCCGACCAGTCAGAATAAATCATTTTCTGGATATCACAGTTTTTATAGATCCCGGTAGTGCAGTTTGCACAATTAAGGAAAGCGTTATACGTGCTAATAATCTACCATACAAGTCAACAAATCAAGATTTATTTGGTTTTGGGGGACAAAGCATAAAAAGTAAGGAGATCACTATAAGTTTATAGTGACGTTGGATAAGGTCGAGGAGGAAGTTGAGGCGCTGGTCGTGCCAGAGAGTTCACAGCCAACGGACTTGGTAATCGGAAGAACATTTAACATATGTTGAAATCGGTGAACAACTGCATTTTGGTTATAAACATGAAGAACTGGAGGGAGGCTCAACCCAAGAGTGATGTATTGATGAAAAATGACGTGAAATTTAAAAAAACTACGTTGAATTTCGTCGATGTTCGAGTTGGAAAAGAAGTTGGAAGGATGGCGGTAATGAGAACTCGAGATGTCAGTTTGAAGGTGGGTGATCGTCGAATGAAAATAACCGGATTCCTTTAACTTTGGAGATGTTGAATTTTGATGGAGACGTATGTCCGGAAGACAAGGAGACTTTTGAATTTGGCCTAATTAGGGTGCACAGACTTGATGACAGTTAGCATAAAAGACATTGATAACCCTATTAAGGCGAAACCGTATCGTTGCAATTTAGAAAATCGAAAGAGGATTAAAGAAACGGTTGACGAATGGCGTGAGTGCGGGATAGTTCGTGATACAAATTCATCATATTCGTCACCAGCTTTTCTCGTACCAAAGGCTACTGGTGAGAAAAGACTTCTTGTAGATTTTAGGTTTAAAAGAGACATTTAGAAGAAAGATGCTTAGATATGTGGAGGAAGGTTGAAGAGGACCATCACCAATCACTATCATTCCGTGCTCGTTAAACAATATACTATTACCGCACTAGTGCTCAAAAGTAACTTTTTCGCACAATTTTTGGTATTGTTGAAAATGAGGATATATATAGGACTAACTTAATGATCTATGTAACTATTCTGTCTTATGTTTCATTTTGTAGCATTATTATAGAACCTTGTTTATTGAAAACCTTTTTTTTTTCATAAATAATATAGTCAAAACACTCGGAGGCCTAACTCTTGCAAAAAAATTATTTTCAAATAAACCTTTCACTTTTCTACCGATACTTCCACGGGAAATGTTCTTCGGAAATCTCTGCTATCATCTCTTCACTAGCAATACCAGTCAGACGAACTAGACAAGCCCAGTCAGCACATCCTTTCGTTGTCAACCTCGAAAGATGTCGAACAGCACTTTATCAAAACTCCTTCATCCATAGAACGGCTAGGCTCTGGAATTCATTGCCTGAGGAAGTATTCCCAACAACATATAATCTCCAGAAGTTCAAAAAAAAATTACAATACCTACCTCCTATCCCTATCCTCCCTAGGAACGCACGAAGTTCTTTGAACATTATAGGGATTCCCTTTCGTGCGCTCCAAGCGATAAAAAAAAACATACTTGTCGATTTTAGGAAATAAAATGTGTTCTTGAAGTACAATGTGAGTATATCAAAATAGCGGTTTGTTCACATTTTCATTGTGAAATTCGTGTTGTATTTTTCAGTTCCTGGCTTTAAAAGTGGAGTCGGCTGTACATCAGTCTACGCTTACACGAAAAGTTCATTCGGCCTATGGAAGAATGGCCTATATATTCAAAGTTGTACTCATTATTTTATGTAACCAGCGCCCGAAGAGTAGTTGTCATGTCCACATCAACGAAACAACCATCTCACAAGCACAAAAATCATTCAAAAAAAGCGCGCCTTATTCGTACTTCTGGATTTGGAAATAATACTCTCAATTCTCAGTATTCAACCTTCCATAATAGACCCTTCATTCCTTTCCCCACGATACGCCTATGTGGATCGGATTCATGAGTGTGACGAACAGGTAGTAATAAATGGATGGATGTAGAATCTCTCAACCCTATTTCGCATATTATTTTGTCTGTTACCTGCTGCCCGTGTTCATTGAAACTCAACAGTTTATTTTGCCAAAATTTAAACATTTGTCGATCCAATTGCAGCTTCCCATGCAAGCCGCCACTGGTGCTCACGTTGATTAAAGTTTGAAGAGCAAATAGAAACTTGATGAGTACCATTATAATAAAAAATGCAACATAACATTTGTGTGAAAATGCTTCTCATTTTGTTCTGAAGAAAATGGATGATTCACTTCATATCATTTCATATTTTCTCTCAATTGCAGTTCAAACTGAATGTAAATCGAATATAACAAATGAAAAATTATATCCTTCAAGTATTTTTTAGTATAGGTGATTGAAAACCAGTAAACTGTACTATGATATAAAGACATAATAATAGTAATATCTAGTTTTCATGAAGGATTCCTTTCAAATACCCCTTCTTTTATTTTTATTATTTTATTTAACCCATAACAGTTATAAATTGCTTCATACAAGCCTGATTTTAGGTGGCCAAAATTATTGAAAAAAATGCTGTATTATTCTTCCATTGCTTGTGAAATTTGAGAGCAATTCGACTTGAATTCAGGTACGTATAGAAGCTTTTATTATAAGAGCTAAGTTCTTGTTGGTATCATTGTCTTTTGGTGACCGAAGTTTACCAATCCATGAGTGTGTCGGAGCAAAAAGATTATTTTTTGTTTTGTTTTCATTTGACTAATTTGATTGGACTTGTTGACATTTCAAATCGAACATTTATCGCACCTAAAGATGTGGAGAACCAACCAACGAATTCAACAAACGAGATAGAGGCAACAAGCAGCTACTAGATGATAGGTGGATAAAATAGTAATTTACGTAGCAAGTCCGGAAAAACTTTTCGCTCAAAGTATGTGCAGTAGCAGAGAAACAAATCATAGCTCATTCAGAGAAACAATTTGAGTATGAAAGCACTCTTTTGCGTTCGAATAATATAGTTTAGAATTTTTTTATAAGAAACAATATCTATAAACAAACTATGGAAAATATTTTGAAAGGTTTTGCGACGGCTTACCAAACGGAAAGTTAATCCAAGGTGGGAATCCAGAGGGTCACAAACCACAGCTTCTTCACGAAGATCCTTTGGCAACTTGCATCTAATCGGCGGTGTTCACAACTAGATCACACCAAACGAGACCTTTGATTGAATTTGAACATTCAACACATTGCACTGAGTCAAATTTCGGTAAAATTTTATATGCGAGAGTAACGAACGATTTGCGATAACCGTCAATTGTTGTACATATACTAACTCTTAACTCTATTCAGGTGTCTATTTCACCGTTTATACATTTTTGTAACAAAAACGCGATACAAAAACGAACCCGTCCGTCGAACCTCTTCCAAAAAAAGCTTGAACAAGAAATAATGAAAAGAGCGAGAATAAAAATAAATCAGAAATTGAACTAATATGCTATGAATTAAACTATACTATACATTGAAAACAAAACAAGCAGTACTGTAGGACGAATGGTTCTCAAGATACAGCCCTTCAACAAAGGGTGAAATTTCAAAAATTATATTTCAAGTTTTGAGTCAACTTTTGAGCTATAAAAATAGTCTATAGTCTGATGAAGTTGAGTTGTAGTAAAACTTGTCAGCTCCAATTATAATACAGAACGATGCGAGTAGATCGAATGGTTGATTCATAATATGCAAAAAATAAAAATATTAATAAAATTGAATGTTGGTAAGATTCCATCTAAACCCTCTCCATGGCTTGAAAACTTCTCGCTTCTTCTTGAATTTATTATTCTAGTGTATTTCATTCGAAGATCATAATTTTAGTGGGAGAATATTACTGATAATTCAAATATGTAGAGAGAATCCACTTCGGTTGCCTTCAAATCAAATAATCGATAAGTTTTTTTCACCACTAGCTATAAAACCTTCCTTTATAAAAGTGTATTTTTACTACCAAGGTAGTTTTCGATATTTTATAAACCACTGGTCAATAAAGACATAGCCACATCCGTTATAATTGACCAGAATTCACTGTTCTGATGCGAGATATGCATTAATGACAATCGAATCTAGTAGGTATTTATCAATAACGACTTATCATTATGCTGCCATGTCATGGCTACTAGATTATAATTAGGATTGAAAACAAGTGCTTTCATAGTAACAAAATGATTGAAATGTATTGGAAAGTGGTTAAAGAAATGAATATACACCTTTGTAGTGAAGAATATTATTGCCACGGCACCTTATATATTTTTGGTCCCTGGATAATACTGATATTCTTTACTACCTTGGTGTATAGATAACTATTATGCACTTCAGGGATCTAAAGTACATTTTAAATCCCTAGGGATTCAAAGTACCACTTTTTCCCCCAAAATCTCAATCAGCATGCATAGTTACCGAGATCGTTGATATGGTGACATATATAGTGGCATTCAATTTTTTTCTTTATTTTCAACGTTTCACATATCCTATGGTAAATAAAATAGTATATACACCTCAGGACTGGAGTGTTTTTGAATACCTCGACAAATTATAGCCCTCCCGTTGTTCGGGCTATAAACTGTTTGTCTCGGGATTTAAAATAGGTAGGTACCACTCAAGTCCCTGGGTATATAATGTACTATTTATTTTCATATTAGATATTTGTGAACAGACCTTCTCAATGAATATTCATGTATAATGTAAAAAATGACTCCTGAATCAACCATTTGATATAATGATTGGATTAATTTCGATAAATGATTAATTAGCTTTGTCTGAGGAATATAAAAAATAACAGTGAAAAAACTAACATTTACTCAAAATAGTATTTAATGCAACGATCGATAATAGTAATTGATTTATTATTGCATTGATTTGTTGAATTGAAAATAGTCATAAGAGTTGTTACATTTTTTAAGGTAGAAGATGAGCTTCAAAAGGTTGTGTGTACCAGTCAATATTGAATAGTATTTATAGTAATGAGTGAATGGCAAATTTACTATTGAATACATTTTATATACAAATATTTATATTTACAATCGAAATATATACAATATAACGTATGTCAATATACAACTAGATGGCAGGTTTGCTTTTTAAAATGCAAGATATTTTTATTTTTGATTTTCTGGTGGTGATCAAGTTGATTCTTCAGAACTGGTCATGTTCATACTAATGTAAAAACATACCACTTGATTGATCCCAAGTATGTGTTTCTTTAGGCCAAAAATTCGTTCCATAATGAAAAATATGTGTTTTCATTGGCCAAAATCTGATTCTGGGTAGACAACTGCTTCCTTGGTTACCAGCTTTTGTAGAGTAAACATTCAAAGTTAATGTATAACTACGAATCTCATTGGGATTGCATCTCTTCGAAGGTTTTTGCCCTCAAACATCCAATGCATTTTCTTCTTTTCAAATCAGATATGATTAGTCTCATACTGGATACTTTTTTGGAAAGTCTTTTTGTTTTCAATTTGTTAGCTTTCAGTTTCTTCTGGGTCATTGTATATTTGAAACGATATTCCTTCAACTTTTGTAGAATTTTTTTTGGAGACGAGCTGTAATGAAAATGTCGAATGATGGGAGTAGAGCTTATACTATCAATTTTACTTAATGAGCATTATTCAGGGATTATGTCAGTTTTGAGAGAAAAAAACTGAAAAATGTCTGGAAACGTTTACTTATCGAAATCCAGGGTATTATGGTTTGATAAAAAATCGTGTACCAGGTGACATGACATTTAATTCTCATTGGAGGTGATCACTAGTAATCGAAAATGTAATCTTTGTCATGACCTACACTCGAAAATAATTCGAAATCGACCAAACTGTTAGTTTTGAAAGCCCATATTTTGGGAAATACAAAAGATGAATAGAATGAATTGAGTGGGGTATTTCCGGAAAGCTCTTCGAAAGGTCTTTTCAATACTGAGAAAATATATAGGGAGTTCAATTTTAAATTCATACACCTTTTGGTTCTCCCTGTATATTTCTTCAGATAGTGAAAATATATCTGTTCAGGTCCAGAAGATACCTCATCAAGTTTTCAACAGACTAACAATTTCAATAAAATCGGCCAAAGCGATTTATACATATACAGGAAGTTTCATTATTAATTTTATGGACGGAATCATCCTAGGCTTCTGTTACTTGAATTCAGGAACACCCTGTATAACTAATGAACTACATACTTGATCAAATATCTTCGAGAGTTATAAGGAAAAATTACTTGCCTGTAGTTGTGCATTAATTTGACGTCTTTTTTTATTTTTTCTGAAACTCCTTTTGATGAATTACTATTAGATGATGTTAATTTCCTCTTCAACCTCTGAAGTGTTGCTGCAGCCTTCATAGATTTAATAGATATACTACTTTCTGGTGAACTACTGCTGAAAATAAGATAGGTATCTCAAACTTTGAGGTTCATATTGCAGCATAGCAGTGTATAGATACCTCTTCTGAGAGCATATTTCAATTACAGGAGTAGAGGTCACTGGGATATCCGGATAATTCTCCTCATTCTCCACAAAATAATATTCTCTGCTTAAAGATGACTGCTCCCCTGTATTTTCACATTCTTGTTTTATTACGATACTCACTGGCTCTTCTGAAGTACCTGATGCAGGGTCTTCATCAGCCCTATAAATTAACAGTTTTTTTTTTCAAGTCAATTCAATATGTTCTATTGTCAGAAGGACACAATATTCTTATAGACAAAGTACAATCTAAAATCTTGAAATATTCATAATGATGAAAACTGATAAAAACATAGTAAATGAATAGGTACCCACGTAGTTATAAGTGCCCCGCAATTGAAGTGGGACACCTGGAATTTTCGCTCAGTTTCGTAAGATTATAACTTCCAAAAAAATGAACCGATTTCAATTTGGTTTTCAGATTTCAGAAGCTCATTTTATTATCTTCAGAATCATGAATTCAAAAAGAGAAAAAATGAGAGAATGCATATTTCACAGGGCGATGAATGGTACACTGCAAACTTGCGTCGAATTTAAGGTGATCCATTCCGTCCAAAACATTTTCCCCTGGTTTCCTCAAATTGTATCATGGAGTTTGATGTCACATCTCGAAATGGTTTTTGGTTCTTGTAGATTGATTTCACTGTTCTGTTTATATTATTTTTTGTTGTAAAACGCCAGAAGAATAGTGTGTTTCAATTCTAAAACTGTTCACATGAACAATTTCACGGTCATGTGACCCATAGAAAATTAAAACCACTTGAGACTGATTCACCTATCAATACAGGGTGATTCGATACAGGCTCCAATTTGTATTTGTAAATGAATATAGCAATGTGTGCCATATTGAGTGTCTTTGATCAATCAATCGTTTGGATGATCACACAAGATGATTTCTTCCTTCATAATTCTGAAGAGGGATGTAATGTCCTGAAACAATTTCGACTTATTTGCAATCAGGTTGATAATTTCAAGCTGCTATATTCTTTTGATGATTGATGATTTAAATTCTCCTATATCCCCTCATCGATCAGTTCCTTTTTGGTTTAGTAAGATATCCTTCGGCTCTCGAATTATTTTTGTTTTAGTTTCCATTTGCTATTATCGAATAAAAATCAATTCTTCACAAAAAATATCCTGAAATTTGAAATGTCATGTATTGCTTTGAAAGTGTTAATGAAGCAGGGAATTTATTCTCCCATACCCTCGCCTATTTTCAGCCTCAATTGAATTTGACTCCGGATATGCTCAGTATGATTCATATACAGGGTATCCCATAATTAGCGTGCAATACTTTACCAGCAGATTGCACGATTGGAGATATTAAAAAAATTCCTATCAACATAGGTCGAACAATGTCTCATAAGCAAGCTACAGCCCCTCGAAGCTGGGTACCCTGAAGATGGTTTTTATTTTATATCTTCGAAACTGTTGATATCAGAACTATGGAATTCTGCAAATCGGCCAATCTTTTTATGCCTAATAATATGCGATAATAATAATTTGAAAATTGGGGGGTAAAATCACCCCAACTTTTTTTAGTGCGGTTTTTTTGCAACTTCAGCATGAAATTATGAAACATTAAAGCCTTTTGCATAAAAAAGTTCTTCTTGTTCTACTTCGATAGGAAGTAACGTTCTCGAGTAAAATCGATTTGAAAATTACTCCACGTGTCATAAAAATTCATATGAAATCAGAAAGAAAAATTCAAAATTTGAGAAAGGCTATGCACAACCAGTATGTTCGGGCATTGTCGATCTAAATGAAAAACTACCTAACTAGGTAGAAAGACAATGGTTTGGGAAACAACAATCAAGTCAGGTGACATGAAAATTCATGAAATAAGTGACAGAAGCATTGTGAAGTCATTTGATTTATGGAAAAATACTCATTGAATTCACCTGATCATCATTTTTTCACTCAAGTAATTGTTCTTCAATTTATGGAAAAAATGCTTATCGAATCAATCTGGGCGAAATTTTTGACAGTCGAGTATTGTTCAAAGTGGCTTCCATTTTCTTGAACGCATAGTCGGGCCCGGCGACTCATAGGTTGAGAAGCACGCAAAATCTTAAATTGGTTTGTTCTTATTTCATCTGCAGCCTCATTTATCCAGTGGTGTAAACCAGCGAATTCAAATTCCTCCAAAAATAAAAGCCAAGTGGGTTCAGGTCGGGAGATCGGGGTGGCCAAGCTATAGGTCCATTACGACCGATCTACCGATTAGGAAAGTTTTCATTCAACCATGCTCTTACATTTTGCGCAAAATGAGCTGGCGCCCCATCATGTTGATACCACATCATGTTTCGCAAATTCAAGGGAACATCTTCCAATAATTCACCGAGATTATTTCGGAGGGAGTTCAAGTAACCTTCGGCATCGAGGCGGTTGGGAAGTTCAATAGGACCAATTAGTTGACCACCTATTATTCCTGACCATAAATTCAGTGAAAATCTTTGTTGAAAGCTTGTCCGTCGTACTACCCTGGGATTTTCGTTGGCCCAGAAATGGGTGTTATGCATATTGAATGCTCCATCCTAGGTGAATGTGGCTCCATCCTAGGTGAATGTGGCTTCATCCTAGGTGAATGTGGCTTCATCACTCCATAAGATGTAAGGAAGCAAATTTGCATGATTCAAAACCGACTGGCAGAGCTGTACTCTTGACAAAAAGTCAGATGGTTCTAAGTCATGCACTCGTCGATAATGATATGGGTGTTGGTAGGAGAGTTCGTCTCAAATGGTTTTAATTGTCTATGGGTCTCATGAACGTGAAAATGTTTTTGTGAAGATTTTTAGAAATCAAACACTATTTTTGTGACATTTTAGAAAAACAAACATATTAACAGAACACTGTAATGAATCAATAAAAAAAAAATTAATGATACAATATGTGGAAACAATAAAGAGAAACATTTTTTTTTTCGATTTCATGATTCTGAAGACAATAAAATGAGCTTCTGAAATCTGGAAACCGAATTGAAATTGGCTGATTATTTTGGAAGTTATAATCTTACAATATATAACTTATAACAATTCGAATGGAGGTAAACATTAAAGAATGAAAATAAAAACAGTACAGGGTGGGCAAAATTGGGCGTTTTCACCGTCTATCTCAATAACTAGAGGAGTTTTCCGATTTCGATTTTATTTTCTGACTACTTTACGGTGAGAGGCATCAAAAACTTCCAAACGTATATTCATACAGTATGATGTGTGGAATCTATTGGCATCATCAGAAATTTTATACAGGGTGACGTTGAAAAGATACGACAGCCAATTATGTTTTTTCTAACGGAACACCCCGTATATTTTGGCACAGTTGAATAGTCCCAGGCGTTCCCATTACAAATATATATATAACCCTACCTTTTCCTTCCACAATTTCAGATATATTCGCAAAAATATATTCAGTGTGTCACATTTCGTATGGTTACACCCCCGTATCTTCTGTAAAAATAATTGAGGTAGGATTCAAAAATTCGCAACTGACAGAAAGATACAAATGATACACTCATAGAGTCATGGACCAAGTGGGATCATCTCCAATGATAACACTGCTCGCCAGCAGCTATGGAATCATCGATATTTCTGGATAATGCTATCAACAGGCAGAATCGAGGTTGAAAATGACACTGTATATATTCACCAAATGTGGAAAATAAATATCATAGGGAATGTGATTTCCAGATAAATGGATATTTGGTAAGAAATTAAATAAGAAATTATTCGATTTCATATCATTGGTATCAAGACATTCAAACTATTTAAGATAAATATGAGGAATAATTTATTTATTTAAGAAATAACAACGTATAAAGATATGGCTTCATAGAATATGTTCAAATTGTCTTCCATTTTGGCCTAAGCAAACTTCACATCGTTTCCTTACAGAATTCACTGCGTTGGTGATATGAATGGGTCTCACTTTTTGGAATGCTGAAATAACGTCTTCACGTAGTTCTTCAGCGTTTTAGTGATTTAAGGCGGTATATATGGTTTTTTAGAAATCCCCACAAGAAAAAATCCAAAGGACTCAAGTCTGTTGAACGGGGGGGCCATCGAATTGGTCCATTTGTACCATTCCATTTTTGTGGAAACTTTATATTCAGGATATCTGTAACTCTACAGGCAGTATGGGATGGACATCCATCCTGTTGGAAATAAGTATGCGGTAATCTAGCGAGAGGCTCTTCGTCCAGCAATTCTTCCAAATTCCGATTCATAATTCAAATATAGTTTTCCGCTCTCAAATTTTCTTCAAATATAACGTAGGCTAATCTGTATCCTTTGATGAAACAACTTATGTTGAAACCAAACCTACCATGTTGCCTCATATCATGATGAATTTGAGGATTATGATCGGCCCAGTGGTGTTCATTATGCACATTGAATAATCCAGCACTAGTGACATGTGTCTCATCACTCTATATGATAAAAAATTCTGCCTCTCTTCGCATTTAGCTATACCACCTACAGAATGTCATCCTTCTTTCATAATCATCCGGATATAAAAACTGATTGACAGATATGTGATAGGGCGATAATGATACCTTTTTGAAATTGCCAGAGCACTCCTTCTTGGCACACCAACAGCATTCTCTATTTTTGTAGAAGACGCTGAGAGGTAGGCGTTTACATAACCAATAACATTTTCTTCTTTGTCATAATTTTCTTTGGCATACTTTTTTGGTCTGGGTTTTGTGAAAGATCCAAATTCCATCAAATTATTTTCTAATTTTTTAAACTTCGATACATGGGGTTGTCGTCTTTCGGGATAGCGTTGATAATAAACTTCGCTTGCCTGTTCTTTCTGCCTTCCACATTCGATATAAACACATATCATATCATACTTCTCAGAGTTTTCATAAGGCATTTCGATGGATAACACACACAAAAATCAACAATCCGCTTCTTGACAGCGGCAATGAATTACCAGAATTACCTACATGTTTGTCATTTCCATAGCCATCCTCTCATGGACAACTATAGGTATATTATGGGTATATCGTATAGGCATAGCTGGCTTGTGACGAAATTATCATGAGAATATGTTCGCATTGAAGTCCAGTGAAATTACATTAATTCGACACATAATATTGATGGAAACATCAACAATCATAATATTTTGTGGCAGAATGCCTGAATATGATACTTTACCCAT